CTGTCATCTGTCTGCGCTTTTGGCTGGTCATCCGCAAAAGGCTTAGGGGAAATTGTGTCCGACGGCGATTTGTGAAAAGTGTTGGGGAAAAAGTGTCTTCCATCACATAATTTAAAGTCCGAATTCCGCATCAGAAGTGCTGCACGTGAAGCCCAACTTGAGTTGTAAAGCACGTTTGTGTGGATGGAGCGGGTGAGGGATAGTAACGTTGGCGTAACGAAAATAGCGCGGACTGCTAGTTACAGAGGTGACAGAAGTTCATCTCGGTTAAGTCCACTCGGCAGCTTCGACTTCTGGGATGACTTTATTTCTCTGACTGGACATGTTGCCCTTTCCAACGTAGTCAGGCTGTCGGATTATCGTTCAGCTTACGTTTCAACCAAAACTTAAGAGGCACCTTGCCCTTAGGCGCCTGCAGAAAGTGAAAAAAATCAAAGGAAGCCAGGAGCCAACAGTTTACCACCTATAGGAAATGAGGCAGGCAGCAGAAAAAGACTGGACGCATCGCCATGCTGAATCAAATTTCCATTTTTATCCTTGTTACTACGTTGCCGGCGACAACCACTGTCATAAGTGCCCAAACAACACTATTACCAATAATGGGAACTCCATGAAGATTACGAGAGGGTTCTCAAAAAAAACGAGAATTATTTATTTGAATTGGTTACCTAAGATGACATCTTAAAAAACATTAAGCCCTTTCAAGGTGCAGCCCATTAAAGGATATAAACTTGTCCCAACGGGTTTTCCACTGGTCGAAACGTTTCTCCACATTCATTTGATCTAATGTTGTTAAGTACCCCTGGGTAACTTTTTCTTAACCTCTTCTACGTTCTGAAAACGCTTTCCCATAATTTTTTTCATCCTTGGGAATAAAAAAGGTCTCATGAGTCCAGGCCGTACGAGAAAGGGGTGATAAACCGCCTTCCTACCGTTTTTCGTCGCAAACGTTCGTTCATTTTGAGCACAATGCGGACAGGCACGTTGTCATGATGAAGCAGTCAGTCCCCCGATCGCCATAATTTAGTTCCTTTTTTCTCCTTGACTCACGCAATCGCTTCAGCTCTTGTAGATAGTAATATTAGTTCATTTTGGTGGTAGGAGGAATAAATTCAATGTGAACGACTCCTTTGAAGTCGGAAAAACAAACCATCATGGACAGGAAAAAAAATTGGTCTTGGCGCGTTGCTCCTTAAAGTTTGTCACTGCAAAGTTGTCGAGAGCTTAAGGAGGGGATTTAATTATCATTCTGTCCGCTGAGATGGCTCCCCATGAAACGCTACTTGGATAAGTGAGCAGGAAAAGTGTCCATTCAACGTACCTAGCAGGCGATGACAGCATTGTCAACCACCATGCCTACAGAAGATAATTCTTTCTCCTTTCGGTACTCCCCCCCCTCCGTATCATCATCCTTACCACTGCTGCCATCGCGTCGCCATTTTTTCGTCATTATCCAGTTATTACCACCAGTATTACCACCACCGCGGGTAGTTTATCTGCCCTAATCGACGGTAGTCATCCTCACCATTCTCTGCTTGAGGCCTGACCAGTGGCCCAGGCATGCTGATGGTCACTGTTACGTGGCACCTGGAGGTGTGCAATGACCCTTACCCTGGCCCTAGAAACACCTCTGGAATGGCGGCAGGTTGGAGCATTGTGGTCTGCTTTGGCGAGACTTATTCCTTGAGGAAATGCGACGTTAGGAGTCTTAAGGATCTTACGATTGCTGTGGGTGTCTGTCCGGCTGGCCCAGATCACTCTGTGCACTGACATGAACGACAACTGACTTCGAGTCCTCTCCGCTAGGAGTTACTTAGATTGTAATGACGCATGTCCTCTAAAGCACCTCTTAAGAAGTATTAGACCAGTGCGAGCGAGAATTCGGCCTCCGATTAAACGCTCCGACTAGTTTATAGTGCAAGAGCTGCTGGTCATCGCGACAGTACTAGATCCAGGGACTTAAGACATGCGACAGTATGACCGCAAATGATTTTAGCGTAAGACTGCCCGTGATTTAAAAGTTGTCCCAGCCAGGAGAGACAGGAAAAGGTCATGCCGGATTTTGACTTGATTCAGTCATAGCGGCTCAGTGATGAGGAGCATGGAGTGCTGATAACTTTCATAGCTAATAATAGAAACATTTTGTCCAGCTTCAGAACATGTCGTGCCCCGCCCCGTCAACTAAAGTCCACTTCTAAGACGATATGACGACCAAGTTTAACTATAACCGAAACCCCCGCAGCTACGGAGGAAACCAGTCCATCGGCTAAGTCCCCTCCTGACCAAAAGTCGAAAACGGGGATCGCATCCGCTGATGGCGAGTTCCAAGAAGGACGACTGATCACTGTGTTAGAAGTGCTATGATGTTGTAGCAAAGGTCGCGGTAAGTGTCCTCCACAGTTACTTTCGTTTCCTCCGTGGCGAGTGAGCCAAATGACATTCGCATAGATTTTGGCCAAGGCCGAAATGTGTCACTGGTAAATTACCCGTCATCTGATATTTGAATGTTGTCACTGCTAGCGCTGACCTTGGCCATCGAACTCACGTTTTTTGATTATGTTGCATGATGACGTTCAATGGGCTTCACTCTATCCATTTCAAACTTACTATCCAAGGACAAGGAAAGGAACCCGTGTTGTTGGGGAAGCGAGCGACTTCTTCGGTGACGTCCGGCGGCATTCGTCAGGACTACCTTCGGCTCATTTACGTTGCACGTTGTGTTATTTAACACACGCCAACAAATAAACCTCATGCTATAATTGGTCATGGTTCGCTTATTTTTGATCTGAGCAGTATTGGAACGTAGCGGGTCTCGTTAGCTCCCTTGCACAAATGCCGCGTGCCATGCCCCAAGCAGGCGTAAAGGCACCCAAAGTGGGTCTAAAGACTAGGTTCACTAAAAGGAAAATGATTACCTTGAAGGTCCTGATAAGAGATAAATTCTCCGTCACACTAAATGGGGAACCTCTTTGATTAATGAACGTTTTCTAATACCTTAGGTCAAGCACTCTGCAAGGACGTGCATGGTAATGGCGGAGACAACAACCGGTTCGATTACAGTGAGTGGCCGATCTCATGAAGTGTTGGCTGAAATCCTGAAATGCGTTTTCGATTGGGAAGGGCTACTTAGGTGGGATTGTAATATTGATTATCGTGTGGCATAATCCAGTAATACGTCGGACTCAGCAGGATGTCAGCACTGCTTTTTACTCCCTTATAGAAACTGTATTTGGAAAGAAATGACTACTTATTTTGCATGCATTTTTCACATTGATTTTTAACGATCTTGCAAATTAAAATATATTTTATAGAAACCACGATCAAATACATTCTTTCTTTCACTCGTTTGATAGGAAACCACGTCATCTTCATGTTTTATACTCGAAGAAGGCGTATAAGTTGGTTTTAACAAAGTTTTTTAATCCCCTAATAATTTGGAGCCTGATCATTCGTTGCATTAGTGCTTAGTGATTTCAGTCTACATGGTGCATGCGTTCCGCATAAACAAAATCACATATTCTTCTTTGCCTCTAAAAAGAGTCCATAAAATTTTACAATGGATGCGGATCATGTTGTACATTTCATGAGGAGCAGTGGTAAACGGTCAGGTACGAAGTTGTATGAATGGACATTGCATGGTCTCAAAAAATCTCATTATTAAAAACTCCTTCAAAACCTAATTTTGCTCCTTCTTCGAGTGTAAAACATGAAGATGACGTGGTTTTCTATCAAATGAGTGAAAGAAAGAATATATTTGATCGCGGTTTCTATAAAGTACATTTTAATTTGCAAGACCATTAAAAATCCATGTGAAAAATGCATGCTAAATAAGTAGTCATTTCCTTTGCAGTTTCTACAAGGGGGTAAAAAGCAGTGCATTCAAACGCTGACATCCTGCTGAGCCCGACATATTACTGGATTATGCCACACGATAATCAATATTACAATCCCACCTAAGTAATCCTTCCCAATCGAAAACGCATTTCAGAATTTCAGCCAACATTTCATGAGATCGGTCACTCACTGTAGGCATGGGGGGTCTTCCTCTCTCTTCTTAAGACCCTCTGGAGTTCATATAAATCCAGTCTAAAGACTAAGCTATGGGCTTCCATATAGGTTTGAGACATGTCTTTTGCGCTCGGAAGATACTCACTGCCGGATAGTATTCGTTATATGGTGCTTGCTATTTATTAACTGAATGGACCTCTCCGATCGCGCCTCGAATGAACGGCTGTACAGTTGGTTAGGAGCACAGCTCGTCAACCGTGTCCTTCTTATCTGCCGACTGAGATGGTTCGGCCATTTACCTGTATAAGCTGAGGGTAAAAGAATCAGGACTGTAATTTCGCCCGAACGCAGACCTGGCTGGCCACGGCGCAGGGGTGGCCAACTAAAAACATGGATAGATATAATGAGAGCCGACCGTCTTTTCCGACGATGTCCACCGTGTGCTCCACAGCAAGGTGAGGGCAGGGAGGGTGATTTGTGCGTGAAATAGTTTGTGGTGGTAGTAGACTTGTACAAATTCTACAGCACTCCCTGCCCCTCCCCACCTTGTACCCGGTGTCAAGACAGAGTCAAGAGGGCCGGAGGCGGGGGAGGGCGCAGATGGATGGCACGCTCGAGCCTTGGCGCTGCATTCCACACCCCCTAGCCCACACGGCAAATGACCAAGATTGTACCAACAACAAAAATGGGGGGCAACATGAGTCCCAGAGTGCGCACCGTCTGCCGGCTACGGGGTCCGTCACCGCACCCCGAAATGTTGGCATTTGTTATGGGGTGCATTCCGATAACGTCTGTCAGAATCCGATATGGCCCCGTGTTGGTCCAACGCATCTACCACGTGGCCCGTTTGGAGAGCGCACGACCACGAATGCAGTCAGTCATGCGGTCCTCCATTTTCGGTTCCAATAAGGAACCCGCTGAAGCAATTATAAAGAGCCCCGTTACAACTGGACGCAAGATCAGTCCTTTTTGCTGTCAAGGTAGTCGTAGTACTAGTGGTAGTAGAAGTAGTAGTAGTAGTAGTAGTAGTAGTAGTAGTAGTAGTAGTAGTAGCAGCAGTAGTAGTAGTAGTAGTAGTAGTAGTAGTAGTAGTAGTAGTAGTAGTAGTAGTAGTAGTAGTAGTAGTAGTAGTAGTAGTAGTAGTAGTAGTAGTAGTAGTAGTAGTAGTAGTAGTGGTCCGTTGCCCCGACGTGGACAGGACAATCTCGTCACCAATTACATTAGCACCATTAACAATATCGTCGGAGCCACTAAAAGCACATCGCTTACCCTACCCACGATCTTCCCCACCGCCAATCAAGTGTTTTGAGCAAAATTTAAGAACTAATACTGACAGCATTAACCCGTCAAAATCCTCATTTCTGTCAAGACTATTATCGATCAAATCACGATTCCCAGAGATGGTATCACCACGATGACGTTGTGGGCCATAGCTTCCATCAGCACGGCTGCCGCCGCCACGCCCATCAAATATGCCGCCATCGCGACAGTCGAGGTCGTCCTCAGGCCCATTATTCGCTTTATCACCACCGAGTGTTGGTATATTCAAACTTTCCAGTAAAGACATCCTTTCAAAGATAACAGTGCAGAGAATATAAATCAAAACTCAGACCGAAAACAACCAACACCGATGTCCTTACTGACGAAAAATCACATAAGCACCCCTCCACCACATTAACATCCTCATATACACCGTCATCATCATAATCGCTGCCGCCGCTACCAACAGCAAACAATGGCACCGTCACTATCTCGTTGTTCATAGTCTCACCTTCTCCAATACCAACGGCCTCAGTACTCAAATCCTCACCCCCACTTGCATCAAGAATACTGCCAAAGGTATCATTCTCAGATTCATTACTACTATCACCAAGAAACTCAACGATGTCATCATATCCGCCAACATTCTCATCCCTCTCATTAGTTGAGCAGTCTATCATGTCGAGCTGGAGGGAGGCATAAGAACAAGAATTTGAGGCTCAGGTTGGAGAAACAACACTCTCGTCATAAGGATAACCAAGGCCCAACGACGAACGTTAGCGACAGCGAAACAACCGTCTGCGTTTGCATCCTTGGCATCGATCAGCCTATGCCAAACCGGAATATCGTCGTCGCGACTATCCGCATCGTTCTCTTAAACCTGCTCAAGAGCATTGCCTTCGAGCAACCAAGACTAACAGAATTTTCATCAGTGCTAAAGGAGCTGGCTCCCGAAATATCCAAACCGTTGACGTGGATCTTCCAAACATCATTTGTTACTAGGTGCCTGCCCTCTGATTGAAAGTCCACCACCATCACTCCGCTTCTTAAGCGTGGAAGTCGTGCGTCAGCGAATAACTACAGGCCAGTGAGTCTTACCTCCATATGTTGCAAAATCATCGAGAACATCATTAAGAAAGCCTTGATGCGGTTCCTCGAGCAGCACCACCTCCTCTCCGTTGCCCAACACGGCTTTCGAAGTGGGAGGTCCTGTCTCACGAATTTTCTCTTCTCACTCTGAACCAAAGCACGCGACGAAGGCAATGTTGTGCACGCTATCTACATCGACTTCAAAGAGGCATTCGATAGCGTTTCTAATCAATGTCCCTTCCACAAACTGAGCAACACAGGAATTCGTGGAAGCATTCTTGTATGGATCCAGAGCTTTTGGCTGGATGGTCCAAAAGAGTGCAGGTCGGGCGCCACCAGTCCTCAGAGTTAAGCGTGGTGAGTGGCGTCCCACATGGCTCAGTCTTAGGCCTCATGGTATTTCTGGTTTTCATAAATGACTGCGTCGAGGATCTAGGCCGTGATGCCAACCTGTTTGCTAGCGACATAAAATTGTGGAAAGTTATTCACAAGGCGGCAGACGCAGACCACCTGCAAGCAAACCTGAGCAGGCTCGGGGACTGGTCGAAGCGTTGGCTTATGCCCTTCAATGTAAGCAAGTGTAACTTCCTTCAACTCGGCGTCTGCAGAACCTACAGCCCCAGGATCTACTTTCTTCACGGCACACCCCTGCAACAAGTTGACAGTCAGAAGGACTTGGGTGTGCGGATTGCATTTTCACTCAAACCAACACTGAACTGTGCGAAGACGGCTAAGTCGGCCATGGCTACATCGCAACTCAACAGGCGAGCCTTTATGGGATTTGTCCCTGACTGCCTTTCCAACATATTTGACACGTTTGTGCGGTCTCATCTAGAATGCGCCATACAAGCGTGGAGACCTTGGACTGCCAAGGCCTATACCGTCTTGGGGAAGGTCCAGAGACGGGCGGCCAAAATGACAAAAGGTCTGGGAGCACTGCCCTATGAAACCAGACTGTCTATTCTTAATCTGTTTCCGCTTTCCTACAGGCAACTACGTGGCGATCCTATACTAACATTTCGCATTATCGACGGCGTAGACCGTTGTTTAGACCCCACTGATTACTTCACTCCAGCTAACACCTCCACTTTGCGCGACCATCCCCTGGAACTGCCCTCAGGGAAAGCAAGGATCAATGGACGAAAGATTTTTTTCAGTGACAGAGTGGTTGCAGCTTGGAATTCCCTGCCTACCGACATTGTAATCTCCTCCCGTGTGAATTCCTTTAAGTGTAAACTCGACGCGTATCAAGCTTCCCAACTACCAGACTCACATCCACTCACATAACCCGGAACAAACTTATGTACTCATATACTACTTGCACTTAGTGAGTAACCGTTAATGATTACACTTTTCTAGCTGGCAGCTGTCTGCAATCATGTAACAAATCTCTTTTTCAATTTTCCACTTATTAGTGTTTTTTCCAAAGATCAGTAACCAATGGGGAGTTAAAAGGCGCCCGCCTATAGTTCCCGTAATAACAGTGGACTGAACTGAACCGAAGTGTCCATATCTTAATCCTTACGCCAGATGCCGCCGCCGCCGCCGCCGCCGCCGCCGTCGCCGCCAGGACCGCCAGCACTGTAAAGGCACATTTACTGGCACCCTTAAGAACAGCCCTCAGCACTGCCATCATCATCAACATCAGCATGACGTGGATGGGGCTCAATTCTGTGACCTCAGTTGGCATTCCCCCAAAAAAAATCTCGAACTGATGAGGCGGGACGAGAGAAAGACATAAAACAGAAAGTTACTCGGCGATGACTACCGATGACTGAGTTCCTGGTAGAGTATCACTGATGGCAGTTAACCGCGCAATCCATGAGCTAACCTTCTGAAGGATCGCTTCTCTAGCCATGATGTAGACTAGTCCTCACTCGCTCAAGTATATCCGTACCTTTGGTCTCCTTAATCCCTGTAATGAGTTAACCGCATCCGTTTCCTCTACAGGGACTGTGACTTGAGAAGGCCCGACTCACAATCTAAGCGGATGTCAAGCATTTGTAGGAAGCTGAGTGGGCAACAGGAGCTGTGAGGGGCTACGACGTGAGGGATGTACCACGTAAAGGTCTGCTTGCGTAAGACTAGCCCTAATGCAGTCTGCGCAAATAATTTTGGATTGGAAACTGCAGTCCTTGCGCTTCTTTCTTTCCAAGATGGTAACTTCCAGGCTTCTTCACTTTGTACATGGTATGGCTGTGATCAGATCAATCTACAGGGATTTCATTGTGCTGAGGATGGTACTTATCACAGCGCGAATGTCGACGACAGCGGATGTAGAAACCCCGACTCACCCTCGTCTGAAACGACGAAAACTAGATATCAAGAATCTGAGAACCCCTGTTCTGTTTTGACAGACTGTATCTATCCGGGTTTTGAGCCGACATTCCTTTCGCCGCCATTAGGTATGCTGCGGCACTGGAGTCACGAAGTGGGCGGCAAATAAAGTGCTCAAATCAGCTTAGTCATCTTTCTTGCATAGCCTAGTAAAGCCCCGCTATTGTAATGTCACTTCTCCGAACAAGGGTGTCTGAAAATTGCGAGATTCACAAACTTCAGGAGCGGACGTCCAAAGGAAGAGTGGCCAGACAATTCAGGTGCCTTCGCCATCAAGGACGTGAGCCAATTGTCCTGCCTCCCGCAGGAAAACGACAATCGTTTCATAAGCACGAAGACCCAACTCCACAGGGAAACATTTCCTATAATCATCCGTAAAAAAGATGGACGCGCGATCACTGGGACAGTACGCGTATTAGTCTGAGCTTCCGGTCTCGTACAGGAGGCCATTGTTAGAGACTGTGATAATGCGGCGTCAAATGAGCAGTTTTTGTAATC